GGCATGGCAACAGTGCCGCGCCGCGATGGAGATCTCCAGCGATACGGCGCACTGTAGCCATGCCAGCCCCTCGTATGCGGGTAGAGACGGTCACGCAATGACCGTCCCCCGCCCCGCCATCGTGGCGAAGGCAGGAGAGGGTTGGAGTCGCAGGCCGACTCCCATAGTCGTCTTATCTTGAAGTCGCCAGCCAAGAGTTGGCTTGTCTTGAAGCCGTCTCTAGGACTCGGCTGTGAGGGACGGTCGCCGCCGCCTCCCAGGAGGCGGCTCTTCATTGTGGGGTCTTGAGGGGCGCAGTCGGCCCCGATGTTTTGAAAGGCTCTGGGGCTCGGGTTAGCCTACCTGTGGCCCATTACTCCGACAAATTGTATTAACCGGAAACTTGATACATGTGTGAATACAGAGACAAAACACCGTGTCCCTAGTATGCCTCTACTAGACTAGCTCGTTGATCAAAGATGGTTAAGTTTCCTAGCCATGGACCTGAGTTGTCATTTGATGAACGGGATCACATCATTAGTGGAATGATGTGGTGGACAAGACCCATCTGTTATCTTAGCATAATGATTGTTCAGTTTTATTGCTACTGCTTTCTTCGTGTCAAATATATATTCCTCTGACTATGAGATTATGCAACTCCCGGACACAGGAGGAATGCCTTGTGTTCTATCAAACGTCACAACGTAACTGAGTGATTATAAAGATGCTCTACAGGTATCTGCGAAGGTGTTTGTTGGGTTGGCATAGATCGAGATTAGGATTTGTCACTCCGAGTATCGGAGAGGTATCTCTGGGCCCTCTCGACAATGCACATCATATGAAGCCTTGCAAGCAATGTGACTAATGAGTTAGTTACGGGATGATGCACTATGAAACGAGTAAAGAGACTTGTCGGTAACGAGATTGAACTAGGTAAGAAGATACCAACGATCGAATCCCAGCCAAGTAACATACCGATGACAAAGGGAATAACATATGTTGACATTGCGGTTCGACCGATAAAGATCTTCGTAGAATATGTGAGAAACAATATGAGCATCCAGGTTCTGCTATTGGTTATTGACCGGAGAGGTGTCTCTTTCATGTCTACATAGTTCTTGAACCCATAGGGTTCGCAAGCTTAATGTTCGATGATGATATGTATTGTATGAATTATGTGTTTTGGTGATTGAAGGTTGTTCGGAGTCTCGGATGAGATCATGAACATGACGAGGAGTCTCAAAATGGCCGAGAGGTAAAAATTGATATATTGGAAGGTTATATTCGGACACCGGAATGGTTCAGATATTTTTTGAAGTACCGAGGGGTTACCGGAACACCCCGGGGAAGTATTGGGCCTTAATGGGCCATAGGGGAGAGGAGATGCAGGCCACGAGGAGGTGGAGCCCCCCATGGGGAGTCTGAATTGGACTAGGGGAGGGGCGCGGCCCCCCTTTCCCTCTCCCTCTCCCTCTCTTTGCATTTTCCCCTCCGTTGGAAGGAAGAGGGGAGCCGACTAGGACTAGGAGTCCTAGTGGGACTCCTCCCACTTGGCGCTGCCCCTAGGGCCGGCCTCCTCCCCTCTCCTCCTTTATATACGGGGGCAGGGGGCACCCCAAAGCACATTAGTTATTTCTTAGCCGTGTGTGGTGCCCCCTCCATAGTTTACTCCTCCGATTATATTGTCGTAGTGCTTAGGCGAAGCCCTGCACGGATCACACACCAACACCGTCACCACGCCGTCGTGCTGACGGAACTCATCGATTCCTTCGTACCTCTACTAGATCAAGAGTTTGAGGGACGCCATCGAGCTGAACGTGTGCAGAACTCGGAGGTGCCATATGTTCGATACTTGATCGGTTGATTCGAGAAGACGTTCGACTACATCAACTGCGTTAAGTTAAAGCTTCGCTTTCGGTCTACTAGGATACATGGACACACTCTCCCCCTCTCGTTGTTATGCATCTCCTAGATAGATCTTGCGTGAGCGTACGAAAAATTTGAAATTGCATGCTACATTTCCCAACAGTGGCATCAGAGCGGGTCTATGCGTAGATGGTATGCACGAGTAGAACACAAAGAAAAGATCACAACTTTTATCACAACTCAAGGTCATGGAGGAGGCGATGGAATTGTACAGAGAAGCAACCAGTGATGGGCCTGACAATGAAGGATGTAGTTCCTCTTAATTAAGCTCTAGCTAGATCTGCATAGGATCTGCTGGTGCATCAATTGTGCAACAAAATGCACACATGCATTTTCTTGTTAGATTTATGGGCTGATGTTAAATGAGTACTTCTATCAACACTAGTTGCATGTCGGTGTGCTGCCATGGAACCATACCAAAATTGGTTTAGTCATACTTGTCCCACCTCATCCATATCACTAGTTCTATTTTTTCCTGAAACATGTCCTATTTCTCATATACCCAACCAGTAAGCAGATAGAGAGGCGATTTCTTATGCATGGTGATAGCTACACATGCATGATGGCAAATACACACCCTTTGGCATAAATACACACCCTGAGATGTGAGGTTTCTTATGGCATTGGCACAAGTGCATTTTGGTTGTGTAGAAATGATTTTTTTCTCAAATAATCAGAGATAAAAATTGGGGCCACATGTAGCTACCATCATGGGTAGTAAATTATTTTCGTAAGCAGAAAAGCTAGTACTCACAATGCTTGCCTTGCGTATTTTATGGATCTGTTGAGCTCATGTGTACACGTGTGTTTCTCTTAACAGTCCTGATTTTGGACTAACCGTACCATTCAAAAAAAAAAAGCTTCATGTGACTTCCCCTCCTCTTTCATTGGGCACATGTGCTTATGCTTGGTTGAGACCATGGGATAAAAAAGAACAGTTGTGTTTTCAGTGTGTCAAACATGTGTCAAACAGATTGAGAGGGCGACTAGAGAGGGAGGTGGGTGAATAGGAGACTATAAAAAATTAGCTTAACTTCCAAATTTTTGGGTCAATGCGGATAAAGTAAGTTCTTTCTAATATGCAATTACTAACGGGTGATCATCGAGATTGGAGCTATGATGCACCTTCTAGATTGTTTGGCCAGGGTTAAAACACTCGAGACACACACGATAAGCGAATTACCCAGGTTCAGGTCATCGCGAGGTGTAATGCCCTACTCCGCTTGTAGTGTTGTTCGTATATTGATTTCTTAGATTCCTAAAAAAAGTCTTTCTCGACATATAAACTTCTTCCTTTTTTGCGCAAGTGTTTAGGTATTTCACATGCATATAGACATATGTAACAGGTCGACACATAATCTTCCAATTCCAAATATATAAGAAAATAAGAGTGTTTAGGTATTTAACGTAAGCAAGCACCACCATCATCAAACAATAGGCCCCTTTGGTAGTTACAAATACTAACTTTTATACTTCTCAAGTTCACACTCTGCTGCCCAAGGCCCCCGCGTCGCCCCCGTCTCGGGCGACTCGGGTGGCTCTTCAAACCCTAGCTGCCAGGGTCACCACCACCTCCCTCCCTTCCCTCCGCCGCCGCCGGAGGACACCGCTGGGCTAAGCCCCGAGGCCGACGGCGGTGGCGAAGGCTCCTCCATGGATCGCACCGGAGGGGGTGGGGCGGGACCCCCACGCGCGTGACGGCGCAACGGCGATCTGATCCATGGCGGCATGACGGTGTGCTCCGGGCGGAGGCCTTGGGCGGCGGCGCGGATGCCTGGTGTCGAGCCAGCGGCGGCGGCGTGAAGAGGGCGCCATGGAGGTCCAGGCTGTCAGGATCCTGGGGCGGCAGCCCTAGACGGCAGCGGCGGGTGAAGCTCGGGCTTCCCCCGGCGGCATGGCGTTGTGCAGCCCATATTCAAGGCGGATTTGCGTCGGCAATCTTGTGGTTTTGCCACAGATTGGTTCCGATCAGGGACGGTGATGAGTGTGCGGGATCGATCTCGGTGGCTCTCGCGTTTTGGCGAGGTGGGGAGGGAGTCCTCCTCCCAGGCTCCAGTGGTGGCGCATTCAGGCAGTGGCCGGTGTGCCAGGGCTCCTACAGTGGCACTGCTATTGCGGTTGGTTGCCGGATATAGGCGGTTAGATCTGGGGCTTAGAAGGCGGCCGAGACAGTGCACAGGTTGTCGGGTGGATTTCTTGGGACGGATCCGAGTGAAAACTTACTCTTCGGTCGTTGGCCGGAGCCGGTGATGACGATGCCCTTATTATCGTTTCCCTCATGAAGGCATCATCGAGGTACAAATCCCAAACCCACCCAATACCTCCGGGGAAAATCCTAGATCAGTTGATCGGATGACGGCGGCATTCATGTGTCGTTACCCCCTTGGGGGCGGCATTCTTGGAGATGCACTCAGGCTCAAGAGACCAGCGGATGGCTTCTTCGGTGGAGCGGTGTTTCTTTCTACATATTCATGGCGGCGGCTCTTGGCGGCATGGAGCAGCGGAGGCTTGGCGTCAGATGTGTGGGGATGGACATGCGCAGGAGGTCGACGCTGTCTGGCGTCGTGGTGGCGTCGGCGGCAGCTAGACCGGGCAAGATCGATGCAACAGTACAGCTCTGAAGATGGATTGGTGGCAGGTGGCTGTGGCAGCCTCATACCCAGCAGGCGTCCTAGTTGAGGAGCACGCCGGACTGGTGGGTGCCCATACCCGGTAGGCGTCTTGGTTGGGATCTCAGGTCTTAGATGTTAGGTTTGACTGCGAGGTCTGTTTGGTATTAGGCCCAGACTATCAGCGTCCCTTCATCAACTGGATAGGAGTAGCGACATATGTTGCTTAGATGGTGGCTTTGGTCTTACTGTTGTACGACTTTATAAGGTCTTGTGTCAATAATTAATAAAATGGCCGTATGCATCATCCAGATGCAGAGGCCGTGGGTATTCCTCCTTTTCTAAAAAAAAATTCCACACTCTGCCCGGTGCTCTCGCGCTCGGCGTCACTACTATAGCTTAGAGATTGTAGCAGCTTTATTAGATCGGGTAAAAAGCACACAAAAGTCAAACTTGGGACATCATAATCATTCCCTCTCAACTGATTCAGTTGTAGGCGTCGGGGTTGGCGATGAGGTAGGCTTCGGCGGCCTTGAAGATGGCGGTGACAGAGTCCTTGGCCTTGGTGATCTCATCCTTCACCTCCACGCCCGGCAGCAGCTTGTAGGTCGAGTCCACCTTCACGACGCTCCCGCCGTTGGCCGCCGACTCCACCTTGATGTGAGACGTCGCGGTCTTGATCGCCGTGCCGATGCCGCCGCCCTCGACCAGGGTCGACTTGCACTCGCACTTCTCTGCGTCCAGAAACTCGAGCCTCTCCTTCATAAGGGTAAAGGGCATGGCTGCAAGAGCAAAGAATCGCGTGTTATGCCGCCGCCTGACTTAATTAGGTGACATGCATGGATTGTAAGTGATGCCATATGTACCTGAGGTGAAGTTGAACTGCCTGACGCTGCCGATGCCGCCTTCGCCCTCGACGGGGTGGGCGCTGGCGACGATGTGGGGCGCGAGCTTGGGTGCCAGAGTGTGCCAGTCCATGACGCCGGCACGGAACAGGCGCGGTGCCGCGACCGACGACTCGATCTCGTGGGTCCAGCTGTTTGTGGAGGCCATTGCTGCGGTGATCAACTAGTTAAGATGGGCAGGTGCAAACGCTATGAGCTCAGTCAGAGCGTTGTGTTGCTAGTGCAAAGTAATTGTACTAGTATGTTGCAGCGGCTGCTTGGTTGCCGAGAGCGTGCGCGGCGAGAGCTATAAATAGGTGCCCCGGAGCTCGGGGTTGGTGCCGGATGGGGTTGGCACGGATGATGGATGGCACCCCTCGTGGCCCTCGTCGTCAACGTTTATTGATTCTGGTGTGCAAAGAATGTGTTCCAGGGAGTAAAATACGGTAATGCCGAACGAAAATAATGGTGACAGGTGTGGTTGGCATATGTCATGGTTCGTGTTTTGGTGACATAGTTGGTGTGGTTACGTGACAAAAGAAACGGCCACTTTTTCAGTGGGCTACATGTCTGTACGTAAACTATTTCTGGCGTGTTTTACTCTGAGTTTTTAAAACTATTTTTTATTATGAGTTATTATTTGAGTACATACCAGCTGTTCTTTTGACCACTCTTGACACTATGTTCTGTTGTATTTTATTTATACCCAGTTTCGTTGGAATCCTAACGGGCATGGTTGCACCAAAGTTACATGCCCATCCATATTTCCATCAAACTTCGGTTGGATTTAGCTAAATCCTTATGGGAATTTAAGTCCCTTCACCGAATTGCGAAATTGAATAAGCAAAAATCCAAAAGATAAATTGTGTATTTTCTGCGGGAGAAACTTTCGATGTATTCATAATCAATCATGGCAGTAAACAGAACAGCAGAGGTCACAAAAATTACAAGAAAATTACCACCTAGCAACGACTACAAGCACTAGAGAAAGCCAAAGACATGCCACCGTCATCACCCCTCCCTCACTTGAGTTTCGCAAATCTTGTTATAGTAGACAGTAAGGAAGTCATCGTGCTAAAGCCCCACAGGACCAACACACTAGAGTAGGGATGGCAATGGGCACCCATTACCCGCATACCCTGCGGGTAAAAACCCTATTAGGGCAAGGGTATGGGTCAAAAAAATACTCACGGGTACATAAATAGAAATTATTCATACCCATCGGGTATAGTGGGTACATGGATGGTTTAGTATAAACCATACCCATGTACCCATGTATCCGCATATATTTTGACAAATAGGCCTTATATATAGTATCTATTCACATATTAAAAATATTATATGTACATAAATCCCACAGCCCTAAAAAGACCTCATCATGCATTCATGTTAGGCCGCCGCACCACAATAGCTAGCCCACGAACGAGTACACATTGCGGTCATGATGTGTTGTTGTTTATAAATTATTGTTATAAGTTCTTGTTTATGCCTATGTAATGTTCAAATTGATGTGTTACAAATCTGGGTAATTTTACCCGCGGGTACCCATTTACCCTGATGGGTGACGGGTACGGGGAAAAATTATACCCGTCAATGGGAATGGGTACGGGTGATGGGTAAGGTTTGGGATGACAGGTAAGGGTATGGGGCGGCTCCACCCATACCCAAACTCTGCGGGTGCCATCCCTACACTAGAGTAGCAACCATCACCGATGAAGAGAATCGTAGATCAAAAGAATCAAACCTCGTAAACACCCAAAGAAATACTAGATTAAAATAGATCTTCTACAGACCGGCACCGACTGAATCCCGGGAGATCTAGTGAAGACACACCTCCAAACGCCCTCTAACGATGGTGGATGCACCATGGGGACGGGGATCGAATGTGAGCAACATGATTCCTGCTGAAGGACATCGCCACCACAACATGAACCTAACAAGAACGAGAGTGGGGTCCCTCCCGCCGGCGGAGGGTCGAGGTCCTCCGCACCTCCACGGCCCAAAGGACATCAGAGACAGGGCGAACCGGCGATGGCGCTGACGGGAGGAGGAGGAAACCCGATCGCCCTGATTATTTTCTTGGGGGGGGGGGAGGAATGAGTGTGATTATCCTTAGTTTTATCCTAGCTTCGTGAGATAAGTAGCAATTTTAGTAGTTCCCAATATATTTTGGAACCTGAAAATGGAAACCAACATCATAACGACGAGCAAAATGACCAAAATTTGATAGGTAGTTGGGAGGAAGGTATCAAATAGGA